CGGCGCCCGCGAGCCGCACTGAGCTGCGGCGCAGACTCCACTTTCGCATTCGAACTCCCGAGTCTGGACCCTGGCGCTTCCCGCGCGTCACTCGGGCTCCGAAGTGACTCCTTCGCGGCCGTCCCGCTCCGCTTCTCAGCATCGTGGTCCCGGCTCCGGAGAGGTAGGGGGGCCGCGAGACTAGAGGGGGCCCCAGGGCCACGCCCCTCCCAGCCCCCGACCTGGATAACGGAGACCGCGACTGCACCCAGGTACTCAGATGCGCTATCTATCCCATCAGCCCTCCTCCACCCCGTCGCCATTCCGTCCCCACCCGTCCCCAGGGTCTGCTGCTAGGGGGACCCCTGCCAAGTTAGGTAGCTTCCTTGTGATCTCTCTCCAATCCCCTGTCCCCACCCCAACTCCCGAAAGGGGCCGAGGGACACGTCTCCCACGACTGAGGCCCTCTGGGCACCCCCGTCCCCCACTCCTGGGCGCGTCTTCCTCATCCCCTGCCTCTGCCCCACTTCATCTTTCCTCCCCCGCCTCTTCTCCAGGTCTCTGTCCTCTTCCAGCCTCTTCTCTGGCTTTCTCCGTTCCCTGACCCCGCCCCCCACCACTCACCCGGGAGAAGGGGGTGTGTCACGATGCTTTCTATTTATAGGCTCCCTGGGGAGGGGGTGCAGTGCTAGGACTTTTTTGGCGTCAGCTGAGCCCTGAGTCATGAGGTGTCATGTCTGTGACTCGGTATCCATGCCTCCTCCCGCTCCCCTCTCCCATCCTCTCTCCACCGAATCTCCTGTCTGCCTTTGTCTCCTTTCTGCCTCCGTTCTAGTCCTTTTTGCGCTCCTCGCATCTTCGGGCGCTTGATGTAGCTGCCCTTTCTTTGTCTCCGCCTCTCTGCTCTCGGCTCCCTCTCCTGCCTCTTCCAGTTCCCCAAAGCTGGGACTTCTAGGGCATCAGTATTTCAGGTGGTGGGGGGGCGGGTGTGGAAATGGGATGGGGGCGCTCCCAGCGTGCCCGGTGATTACTTCAATCATCTCCTTCTCCCCAGAGTGACCATTCATATTTATGCGATTGAAAGAACGGATACAAGGATGTGGGGATATGGGTGGCAAGGGAAATGCTACCCCTCCTGCAGGAGCTTGGTCCAAGAGATGCCTGAACTACATTTCCCACAGTGCCCTGGAGGCACAGGGCTGCCTCTGCCTAGACACTTTCTGGGAGTTAAAGTTCAAGGAGTGGGTTGGAGGGTATCATACTGGAGGGTGGGAAGTGATCAGAAAGTGGAGCAAGGATTGTGGAGCTGGCCGGCAAGGATTGTGGAGCTGGCCGGCAGCTTTGGCTTGGCCTGGAACCCCTAACCTATTTTTTCCCAGCACCCACCTCCTCCAAGGTTTAAGGACCTTGGAATCTTTGTGTCTCCAAAAAAGGGAATAGGAATAGAGGAGTGCCTTGAAAGAAAAGATGGGTGATGAATTGGCAAGTCTTTCTTTCTTCCTTGTGACCCTGGGAACTACCCCACCCCTTCCCCTTACAAACAACCTAGTCGGAGATGTAGAGACACCATTGGAAATAGTCTCATCTTGAAAGCAAGGGAGGGAAAGAAAAGCCTAAAGTCTGAGATTTATTGGATGTGTTCCAGTTTGCAAGCTGCTCACATTCTGGCCCCCTTAGGAGCGGGGGGTGGGGGGGGGGATTGCTGATGTTACTCCTCACCTACCAGCTTGCGTTTTCCAGGGGCCCATGGACAGCTGGTGAGGTTGCCTAGAGATGCAGATGGGCGCCACAGGTTAACCTGCTCAAGTTAACCATCATCCCCAGAGCCTGATGCAAGGAGTCTGATGCTTGTTGTTGGCCTAGAAATTGCTGACAATGGGGGGTGGGGGGAAGGGAAGCAGTGGGGTTCCTCCCACAATCCCATCTCTGATACTGAGTCAGCTCAGCCCTTAGCATTTGGGACCTCTGATTCCAGTCAAGGACCCAGTGATTCCTATCTTTGCTCTTCAGACTGGGTTTGGAGATACAGATACACACACACACACACACACACACACACACACACGCACGCACACATTAAAAGGTTATGTGTGGTTTTTTTCCTGGCTCCCTCACTGGCCTGGGAGCCAGAAAAACTTACAGTCTTGGGCCTCGATTTCCTCAGTGTGAAAGGAATGGGTTGAACGTGGTGGTCCCCAATGACCCTAGCTGGGGCTCTAAGGGCCTCTGAGCCTGTGCCTCTGAACTGTCTGACCTGGAAGAGCCTTAGGCATCAGCATCAGATTGAAAAGAAAGAGGGAGATGGTGGTCATGTTTTGAATCTTGTTTGTGTAGCAAGCACGCTGTGTTCACATAAATTCTGTTTATGGTATGGAAGCTAAAATCACCCCTAAACCACCACTTGGTGCCTCTCCCAAGCCTAGGTAATGTTGTTGTTGTTGTTTTTTTAAATCCAACCAAGCCACTATCACCTTCCACAAAGTAGTTGTCCCCTAAGATGTTGGTTAATGAGATACAGTGAGATACAGGTTGTGTGTTGGGGGGAGGGGGTTGTAATTGGCTGGAAAGAGAGAGGAGGGGGATTCGATCAGTCTGGAGGAAGGAGATCTGGAAATAGTCCTCAGGACATGGGGAGGGCCTCTCTTTTTGGCCCTGTCTCTAGGCAGGAAAAAGAGAAAAGCCAGAGGCCAAACAGGTGCCAAATCCACAGGGGACTGACCCAAAAAGGAGACTTTGAGGAATGGAAAGGCCAGGAAAAATCCTGTGTAGGAGATGGGCAAAGATTACAGGAACAAATTTTAAAAGGAAAAGGGAGGAGAGAGAAGAGAAGGGATTCCATCTTTGGAGGGAAGGAAAATGGGGAAGGGACATGGGTGATCTTGGTGGACATTTGGTTTGCTGGAGCCACAACAGAACCCTTTTCAAAATGATCATCTCATACTGGAGTGGAGCCAAGTCTCCAAAGGAGGGAATATATTCAAGGAAGAAGGTGGTTTTGCTGAGCCTGGAAGGAATGGCTTGAAATTTTCTAATGGAGCTCTCCATGTGCCCACTCCCTTGGTTTATGTTTGAATGTGGGTGTTGGGTGTGGAGGGAACTGGGGCAGCAATATGTGTGTGTGTGTGTGTGTGTGTGTGTGTCTGTGTGTGTGTATCTGGGGTCTACATTGCCCTCCCTTTGCCCTGGAATGATAAGTGGCAATGGTAGAAAAGGTAGTGGGAGCTGAATCCTCCACTTTCCTTGGAAACTGTCCTGGAGAGGGAGTGGAGATTATGGGAATTTTTTTCTCATGTTGCTCTTATAGAGAGGTGGTAGGGCGCTTGAGGAGTGTCCCTCCATTATTTAAAATATATTTTATTGATTTTTTACAGAGAGGAAGGGAGAGGGATAGAGAGTTAGAAACATCAATGAGAGAGAAACATCGATCAGCTGCCTCCTACACACTTCCTACTGGGGATGTGCCCGCAACCAAGGTACATGCCCTTGACTGGAATCGAACCTGGGACCTTTGAGTCTGCAGGCCGATGCTCTAGTCACTGAGCCAAACCGGTTAGGGCCCTCCATTATTTATACCCTCCTTCTTTCCTTTGAGTCCTGGGGCTGACTGAGGATGGAGGGGGTCAGGGGCTAGTCTCTAGGGAACTCACAGGGTCCTGAGTTTGTGAGTGTTAAGACACATCCTGGTTGGGTAGAGCAGGATAGGATTAAGAGTTCTTGGAGCTGGTGTGAGGGAGGAACTGGAGGCCCTCTATTCCCAGGAAGGTCTGTGTGGAGAGAGGAAGAGAAGCAGTGTTTGTGTAGGAAGGGGTTGTGGGGACTGTGTAGAGGAGGCCAGATGTGGAAACAGCAGACTCTGACCCCAATGCTGGGTTCTCTCTTTCTGCAGGTGAATGAAGCTGGAAGCTGACTGCAGTGTAGCCACCTCAGAGGTCCCTAAGCCTGAAACTGAGGCTGAGCCAGATTCGAAGCTACTCTCAGAACACCTGCCACAGGAGGCCAGGACGAAGTCCAAGTCTGGGTCAGGGATGGAGGCTGAGAAGGAGCCTCTGGGGGCCAAGTTCTTGGGGCCAAGCCCAGGCCAGGATCTGGGCTCGAGACTGAGACTGAGCAGTTGGACCTTGTGGTGGCCACAGAACCGGAGTTTGAGGAGGTACTGGCCATCTCAGGGGGCATCTACGGTGGCCTTGACTATCTTCCCAGCTGCTACCACATCTGGCTCCAGGATCCCAACCTCACGGTGATGCTGGCCAAGCACACCAGAGAAGTGGTGAGAACCGAGCAGTGCCTAGGTGAAAAGGGGTGAAGCCATGTTTGGGTGTCTGAATCTTAGGAAGGAGAGGAAGCGAGCCTCTCTCCCTCAGCCCTTGTCAGATTGCTGAGGATATCGAGTAGGCTTTGCAATCAAAGAGTAGGGTGTTCAGATCCAGGGGCCTAGCCAGTGAGGGTGGGGTAGGGGACACGTAGAACACAGGAATAGTGGAGGAGCCCAGCTGGCTCAGTGGTTGAGCATTGACCTATGAACCAGGAGGTCACAGTTCGATTCCATGGTCAGGGCACATGCCCAGGTTGCAGGCTCAATCCCCAATGTGGGGCATGCAGGAGGTGGCCGATCAATGATTCTCTCATCATTGATGTTTCTATCTCTCTCCCTCTCCTTCCTCTCTGAAATCAATAAAATATATATTTTTAAAAAAAAGAATAGTAGAGGGACTGGTGAGAGCTTTGGTATTTGAGGATTTGTTTGAGGAGTTTCTGGGGACAGGAGCACAAAAAGAGGGGAGCTAGTAGGGTGGAGGTAGGCTGGGGATGGGAGCAGGTAGAATGGGGCCAGGAGCCCTAAGTAGACTGACTTCTCACGCAACGAAGCCTGATTGCATGAGTGAGCAGAAGCAGTTCAGAATTGGGCTCCGGGAGCAGCCAATAGGAAAGGGGTGTGGTAGGTAACCGGGGCGTGGCCATCTCCTGGGGGTAGAGCCAGTGAAAGGGGGCGTGACGAGTGGTCAGGGACCCCTTTGTACTTGGGGCTTCTGAATCTCTAGAGGTGGAAGCGGCCGGGCCAATGAGCAATGAGCGTTACTGCCAGGTCTGGAATCTGAGACCCAAGT